CTCATCCAGCTGTATTTCCAATTAGCTATACCATGTGTCCCATAAAAAAGGGTATACGTCTTCATCATTCATTATCATTACCCTGTAAATATCTTTCAATTCTGTTTGCGGGACATTAAACTAGACTAATCGATCATAAATTCCTATGGCTTGTTCCCCATGAGTTATACAAAGTATAATAAGATGAGAATAAAGTTAAAATGTAGTTTATCTACTTAATTATTAGTGATCTTTGAAATTCTCGTGGTCTCAATTCAGGTGTTTGCAAATTGCGATAGACGTTTCTTTTTGCTGAATCTGGTGCATAATTATGATTTGTCTCTTTAATAAATATGTTCTGGTCACACAAATTTAAGCGTTCCTTAAATTTAGGTATGGTGTGATAATTCTCGCTTTTCCGTCTTTTATAGTTAATCATTTATTCACACCATACTTTTCAAATTTGTATTTCAAATATAGCCTTTATATTATATTAACTTATCAATGTTTTATTCACTTCAAAATCTAATAATATAGCTTATAAGATACGTTTGAAATCAAATCTACCACTCTCAAAATCCAAAATAACACTTATATTATTATAATATCTAGGTGCCTAGGTAGCAATGTACAACTCATGTATTTATTGCGCATGTGCAACATTACTTCATTTTTTTTTWAAATGGAAACCCCTATTTTAAATATAATTTTCGGATTGATCGATTTTTTCAAGACATTTTGATGAATCAAAACTTTTGTTGTAAACTCAAAATTGGCTATGATTTTACAAATTTCCATGCTACTCCGTGTATTTTTTTGCATTGTTACATTGTTTGGAGACAGTGGCGTTATTTGAGGATGGTATAGCCATTTGCCTTTTATCATAAATAGGCCGAATTATGGGTTGATGTCTGGATAGTTTTGGGCCGCAAGTCCATAAACATGGTTCATGACGTTCATGTCATTGCCATAAAAAAATTAATGATGATTCCGAGGCTCATGCTAATAAATACTTAAATATCTATAAAGGATCTTCTATCTGCATATTATGTATTTATAATTTATGATTATTAGATAATAAGAGAATATCGTTGTTTTTCAGTTTTATTATGGGTTGGTAAAAATTCCCTCCCTCTCTAACACTGAAATGATGCCACTGTTTGAAGACATCTTAAATCTGTAAACAATTTTCTAATAATTTATCGTGTACAGACACTAAAAACCACACATAATATGTGGCAATGTGTAGTGGATCACATATGTGTGACTCCGTTACATATACTGTAAACTATGAAGGATAAATATAAGTATTGATAATAAGGAAAAAGGTTATATTATAGTCATCCAAGCATAGGGGCACGTAAGCTGGAGCTTAGCCTCCTCCCAAATATTATCATTATTATTATTTCAGTGATGTGGTTAAATATTAAATTAAATTATAATCTATAATAACTTGATATTTGTTATAGTTGTTCTGTCTCATATTATTATGACAACTATACTTAAGTGTATATTTTAAACACAAGAACACAAATCTGCTTTTTAAATCATTTTATATTTTACAATACAGTATAAACGTGCCATTAACACATTGTAATGAAAACATGGAATCTTATATAATATTACAAAACTGGCTGACTACCAGTTCAAGATAAAAACTATTATCACTGAATATGCAGTGATACCATAACAATATTTTACAATGCCCGCTAGATATTAGTTCCAGTTTTTTACTTTGTCCACAACCTATGCATATTAATATACTCCGAATCGAGCTATTGGATGCCGTAAYAGTATAATTATTAGGTACATGCTATGTACAGAATAAATATATATACCTACATAATAATATGACAATGAATATAATATTATACAATAGTATTACCGTGGCTGGAGTCAAGCAAAAACATTTTGTACTTACCACCGTGAAGAATTCAAAAATCTAATGAGCGTATTTTGTCAAAGGGAATTTTAATTTATTTTATTTTATTTTTATTTTATTTTTACTAATACACGGGTTTCCTCTAAAACATTAAAGTAACGGTACAATTAAGATAAATTAGTAAATTAAAGAAATATAAATATTATATGTAAATAACAGAAGTACAATTATATAAAACAGTAATTAAGTAAACAATTAAAACGCTTTTAAACTTAAAATTTTATTAACAGTGTTTAAGGAGAAATGTTAGAACAAATTACCATCAAAAGAGGGGTCCTCGATGGCAAGTGACATAATCCGCCTTAGAGCCTCATTTTGCAGATTATTTATGTTGCCAGTAGGAATATAGAAGGTCACTTGAGAACAAGATACATGCGAAAGGACTTTTAAATTAACTTGGGATAGCAAACAAGAGGAATCAATGTGGTTAGTAATTATACGACGAATACATTTTATATTTAATGTTCTTCTTCGTTTAGCAAGAGTAGGCAGACTAAGAACGTTAGCGATATTGGTATAATTGAGAGCTAAATGGGAAATGCCTAACACAAAACAACAATATCTCAAAAATCTATGTTGAACACGTTTCAGCTGATTAATATCAGAAACAGTGTATGGATCCCAGACAACGGTCCCGTACTCTAAAATAGGACGAACTAAAGCACAATATAAAGATTTAAATGATTTTGACAATTTAAAGTCTTTAGATAGACGCATTATGAACCCTAATACTTTAAATGATTTACTAGTAATCATTGCAACATGATATAGTCGTTTTACCAAATTCAAAATCCTATCAAACTAATAATCGGTTTCTTTGTTCCCGAGATCTCACTCGGTACTGATTATATGAATCGAGGTTATATTAATAAATTCATACCTGAATGTGCGAGATATAGACGAAAATAAATATAAAACAAGTAACAGCACTGGTAAATGAAAAACTGTTAATGTCTTAGACTCTTAGTAATAATTTGTGTGATTTCTCGTAAATTTATAATTTGTTTTTTACTGTACACATAATTAAGTATATAAATAGGAAACATTGCCTGTAATCAATATACGGATGATACATAACTACTGAGTAGATACTTTTTTATGATTCATTTTTTATTTAAAATAAAAATATATAGGTATTTAAGAACTGTTGGGTTTAGTAGGTAATATTGAATTTAAACTAAATTTAAAATATTATATTTCACTTTAATTTTGTTGAAACATTTTTAGATGTTCTTGAGAATCACAAAAACATCGAATATTAGAATATTTTGACGCAGTATTCGTGATTGAAATCGTCAGAAAATCTATTGTCAGAAAATTCAAATGACGAATTATATTTTCTTTATTTTGCGTGCTTGGATGTATTCAAAATGTAACCATGAGAGTGTATTTTGCATTATAACGTAATGTATTCCAAATCTAAAAAATCGTATTAAATGTCCTTGAAATGTTTGCACAATAAGACTTATGCGTGTTCAAAAAGAAAAAAACGAAACGAAACGATAGTAACAAATGTAAAAATACGAAAGAGTTTGAAAAAATGAAACTATTTTAAATGTATAATAAAACAGTATAAAAGAATGGAAAATCATGTTTCTGTGGTGAATATATGTATTACACCTATAAGTATAAAATACGAATAGGTATAACAACGAGTAACATATTTTAGGCTGAAAAAAGGATATACATATTTTCATCCTATAAAAATAATTATAATAAAACAAATAATTATTAATAGTGTGATTATATTTTATCAGTTAGATTTAGCGATTGTCCAATAATAAACTGCACAATAAGTGAATATTATTGATTATTCTCGAAAAGGTATAATAATGGGACATCAAAACATGTAGGTATGATAGACACATTTTTAATCATCTGCAGTCATATAATGTGAAATAAGATATTTCAACCTTTCGTGAATTTATTGTTTTGAATAATATTAATATCTCAGTAGATATTCTAATACTAATATTATTATTATACAACTACCTATAAATTTTTATATTTTAAATTTTAGGTGATACAAAGTTGATAAATAGTAGGTAGTACATATTCATGTTTGAATAAACCATCCCCAATTGGATAAGTCACAATAATTGAACTAATTAAGTTATCATCTGATTATCTAAGTTGGATATTTGTCAAGAGTCCTATATACCTATTAAGTATGTAACCTATTTATCATTCACGGAAAATTCTCAAATATGCATATATAATATTATATAATATATATATTTATAATATTCCATGAACATCTATGAACCATTAAAGGTATCTATAATGTATGTATAGGTTACTAAATTTTTAAATTTAAGTTTTCTTTGAAATTACTAGTACCTAATAATCCCCTTAACAATGCGGATAATATGCTGGTGTCCTTTATTGAAATATATACAAGAATACATTTATTTTTGATAAACAAAAATTTATACATCAGAAATTCATGTTTATAACCTATGCAGGTAACCACCTAGCTTTTGACAACCACGGTAAGGTAATTGAAATTTTACAAAACATTTTAACGTAAACAGTATTTAAACGCATACATGTTATATAGTTTATCTATGGTACAGTGGCGTAATTACGGGGGGGATTTGGGTGTCGTATCCCCCCATGCCCTTTTTTTTAAGACTGGTTAACTAAATTCACCTATGTACTTCTTTATCTAATAATATTATTATTATTATTATTATTATATATATATATATATATATATTGAAATCAAATACCTCGGCGAATTAATATTATTATAAATAGTCTATATTTTATACTTG